GATTGGAAATGTTTAACAAATAGTATTAAGCAATATACACATTTTCTAGCTAACTTTCAAATAAAGAAATCAGATCAATTGATGGTTTGACTCCTGGTATTGGGGGGGATGCTGACCTGCACAGCAGCAGAGGGATAAGCATGCCCAGGTTGGGAGCTGCCTGCAGCCTCCTCTTCCCACCCTACTGTGGTCTCGCTGGGAGAGGGACCCAGCCCTAGCCCCAGCTGGCCAAACCCAGCGACAGATTTGGGACCCAATAGCTGCTCTCCAGGCTGCTGCAGGAGCCTTGCCCTGCCTACTCCCCCTCTCTTCCAGGGAAACCTTCCTCGCCACCATGGAGAGCCACCTGCTGCGGTGCAGGTTGCTGGAGCTCCTGTTCCACCACAGCTGTGAGGTGCCCACAGCCCTGCCCCTGTCCCTGGCCAAGATCCTACATTTCCTGAGCCACACTTCCCTGCTCCTCCTGTACCAGGTACCATCCGCCCCAGCCCCACCTCGCTCCCAGCCCCTTTCCCGAGACCCCCTCCACGTAACCAAATGCCCTCACCTTCTGCAGGACCGGGAAGCCACGTGGCAGACATGGGACGAGATGCTGCAGCATTTGATCTCCCTGCTGGTGAGCTACCACAATGTGGTGCTAGGTAAGAGCTTGCCCAGAGCCTGGCCCAGCCTCAGTACAGGCTGCCCAGGCTCCCTCCTTGCCCCTCCACATCACAGCTCTGGCTGCAACGACATGAGGCCAGGACGGCACCAGCACTGGACAGAGCTGCTGGCAAGTCCCTACTTTACCCGGCCCGTGACCCCAGCTGCTTTCCCTCTGGCAGACCACCTGTGGAGCTCCCTGGGCGAGCGGATGCAGCCACTCACCCCTGCCCGCAGGCCCAAGCAGCAGGAAGGCGATGACATCACCACGCTGGATGTCCAGCAGGGCATCGATGGCTTCTGCCACCAGCTGCAGCAGAGCCTGGGGGCACCACTGCCCGCCTCCATCACAGAGAAGGTGCGCATGCTCCAGGTACTGCTCCTCACTGCCAGCTGCTCCTGACGGGGCTTTGGACCCAAATACTGCCATGCGGCCAGAGCCCACCATACTGTTCCCTTCCTGGAGGGGCAGGGAAGGCACCTGAACTCTGCCAGTCATTGGACTCCCAAGCCAGTGCAGCCCGGCTCTCACCAGCACTTCATCTATGGCTTTCAATACAAACTGTTCCTAGCAGCCAAGTCTTTCCTCAACATCCTGCTTAGTTCGTCCTGCCTCAGCCCTGGCATTTGGGCCCAGACAGCAGTGCCAGGCAAGATGCACCCTGAGGCAGCAGGCTGGAGCCCCCAGCAGTAGTGATGCCATGCTGGTCAGTGCAGCAGGCAGGTGTTGGCCCATCTCCCTGCACAGCACAGGAGGGTGGAGGCACAGCACGACTCCAGCTGGCCCGCAGCTCCCCACATCATGGCTGTGTCCCAGCTCCGAGCCTCTGACAAAACAGCAACAGGCTGGGACAAGACAACTCCAGGAGGAAGCCAGCCCCATCTCTGGCTGAGCCCCTGATGTCTAGCAGCCCTTGGCCTCAGTGCTGCTATGCAGGAGGCCTCATCTCCACCAGCTCAGCCCCTTCCTGGGCCAGAAGTCACAGAGCAGGCTCAAGGTTCCCTCCTTAACCTGAGCAGTGACACAGGGTGGGGCCGTGCCCCCCCACCCCATCCCGGTGGTGTCACTGCTCCATGCCAAGGGATGAACAGCTCTTGGCCGCGAGCACGAGGCCCGTGCAGGAAGCTGCCCCGGCCAGCCACATATGCAGTGCCCGCAGGCTGAGGCACGTAGCACTTCCCATTCATGTGGCCTCTCAGTGCAGACGTGCAGGTCGTCCTCATGCCAGCCCTGTCCTCAGCCTGGCAGCCCCATGCATAAGAACATCAGCAAGGCCAAACTCAGCCCACATCCCCTGGGATCCTGCCACACCATGGCAGAAGCAGTTGCTTTAAGGGACAGCACAGGACTCGGTGTATCCAGAGTGCTGTACCCCATCTGTGGCTGCCACCATCCTCAGTCCAAAGACCAGAACACCCCTGCGTGTCTGTATAATAGCTGGTAATAGGGCTCTCGGTCATGGCTTTGTCTAAGCCCTTTCTGATCCTGGCTGTGCCATCTACCGCCAGCTATGGCGTGTCTGCCCTCTTAGCAAGGTGATGTTTGCAGGCCAGCTGGGCCAGGACCACAGCTACTCACCCCTTGGGGAACAAGCTGGGTCAGAGGCCTGGCCTCACTTCAGTCTTGGTCAGTTGGGGAAGTGCAAAAGCCCTGGGCAGGTATGGTTAAGATTGAAGACCCCTCTAGAGGCAGAAGCTGGCTGCAGGGGGCAGGCAGTGGGAGGAGGCACCTGAAGAGAACCCGTCTCAGACAGGCTGGAGGTGCTTCAGGCAGAGGGTAGAAGTCTCACCCTTGTGTGAACAGGTTTCCCCCCAAGCACCAAACAGCTCAAGCCTTCACTAGCCCCTCACGGGAAAGGGCCAGGAGGAAGCCTGGTGGTTCAACTGCCTGTCAAAGCCTATGTGCATGTTCCCTCCCTGCCCCACCAAAGGCTGACTGCTGCAGAGTATGTCAGCCCTGAGAGTGGAGTCCACCAAATTGGTCACACACGAGAAGTATTTCCAAGAACCAAGGTGCACTTCTCAAGTGCCAAGCAGCCATGGTGATGTCCAGGGCCCCACTCACCCGTGCAGCTGACCTGCAAACAGTACTCCCCACCCCCAGGGGAGCCACAGACAGGGCAGAGGTACTGGATACAGAATCAGGACACATCTGCCCAGCCCTGGACATGCCACACCAGGAGACTGCTAGGAACAGCCTCCACCACAACAGCCACTTGCCCTGAATCGGGGAACCACTCCCCACACTTGTCTCACCCACATCCTGCTTCCAGAGCCCCTGAGGCAGCATAAAGTGGGCACCTGCTTCCCCTTCCCAGAAGGAAGCAGAAGACAGCTGTGGGCAGTTCCCTGCACACCACACTGCTGGGACCCTCCCCACTGTGGCACAGGCCTGGCAGCCACTCCAACTTCCCCAGGTTGGAGGTGGACCCCAACCGGCATTACATGTGCCAGGCACCTCTTGTCACAAGGGTCTTTATTCTCTTGTAACAAACCCGATGGAGGTACATTAAAGAGACGCGAGTACAGACAGCACAAATAAATTAATGCCAGCCCGAGGGCTCGTGAACAACGGGGATGGGACGACCAGTGGCCATGACAGCATCCCTGAGTACAGGGGCTGCCACTGCTACACTGCCCAAGGTGAAGTGGCCTAGCAGCAGGGTTACCCTGTGCAGGGGTAGCTCAGGTTGGACAGGCTGTGCTACCCCTCAAGCACAAAGGGATGCTGGGCCTCACCCACTGACGGGGCTTAAACCAGGTGGGCTAGGACAGAGCTGCCATTGCACTGCTGTGGGGGGGCCAGGCCTGCACCCCACCATCACTTGCTCACTCAGGGAATGCAAGAGCCATGAGACCCAAGAGGCAGCACTGAGCACCCTCCTGTGTCCAGGCAGGTGTAGGAATGGTTGAAGGGTCCCTTCCTACCTCCACTCGTGGAACGTTCCCCATGAACTTTTAAAAACCAAGACAAGGAAAGTCTAAAACCTGAGCACACGGGACAGGGCACAGCTCAGGCCTTCTCCAGGTCTCTCCACCCGTCAGCAGCATCTGCCAATAGGAGGCAGCACCCTGCTGACCTGCCACAGCCCCTGCCTATTTACAGGAGGCTACTGGGAACATTCCCAAAACCCCCCTGCTGCCCTTCCACATGCACTGCCCCATGGAAGCAAGGATCCCCACCCCAACCCAAAGGGTTTAGTTTCAGTGACACCCATTCCAGGCCCCCCTGGAAAAACCAAGCCCTCTGACAGCAATGTGCTGCTCCCTTTCCATGCCCAACTGTTATCGCTTGAAGAGAGCCCCACAGAGAAGCAAGTGCTGGCTGGAAAACCCCCTACAGTCCCCGTGTAGGGAGGAAACTGCTGGCTTCCCTCCAGGATCCTAAAAGGGGAACTGTTATGTGTTGCCCAGGTCTTGATCCCAACTCCAGCCCCAGGCCCCACCTACGTGCTGGAGGAAGCTGTGGTCCTTGTCAGGAGGCAGCAAGCCTAGGCAAGAAGGCCAACCTCAAGATGTGCACCTCTGCTTGGACTGCTTTGCCCGAGTCCAAAGCTTCCCACCAGGTGTGGTTTTGGGGGGCAGGGAGGGAGTGTGCATCTCCCTGGGGTCCCCTGCTCTATGGAGAAGCAGGGCTCCAATGCAAAGTGCAGAGGATCTCTGTGGCTTTAATGCCAAGACAGAAGCTTTCTCTAGAAAGGAAACAGATTTTGGATTTGCCCCTGGAGAGCAGGGGCTGCTGCTTCCCCAGGGCCGAGCTGGAAGGACACTGCAGTTTGGTGCATCCTGTGCACCTAGAAGCCTGTGGGCGTGAGCACATTCATGTCCCGGGGCTTTAGGTTGTGCGGCCGAGGGGGCTGTTTCTTCCCTTCCAGGGCTGGGATGTCCATCTTGGGTGGCTTGAAGGTAACTGGGTCCTCTGCCTTGCGAGTGGCCTGGGCACGGATCAGCTCCATTGGGGACGGCTTTTGGGCACCCTTGTATGGCTGGACAGTGAAGCCCCCTAAGGGAAGACATGACAGCTGGTAAGAAAGGCATGGCGCTTGGACACTAGCCAGCCCACCTCAGACAGACTGCAGCTCCTGCCCTGTGTACCAGGCAGCCTCCCACACTGCCCCCGGGGTCAGGTACCTCACCAGCAGGAACAGTACTGCAGGGGCAGAACAGAGTACCTGCCATGAGCTCAAGTTTGACAGGCTGCACCCGAGCCAGGCACTGGTAGCCAACAGCCTCCAGTGCCCTGGTCACCGCTGGAGATGCTCCCAGCCTGGCTGGAAACTCTTCTCAGCCACCTGGTAGAGTCTGGGGACCTGGGAGGGACAGCCTGGACACCCCAAGTTCAGCAGGGGCTCAGACCTCAGCGGACAGCTGGTAACATGCCACAGGAGGGGAGGCAGGAAGCCAAGCTCTGAAGCCAGCCTAAGCCTCTGTGCCCTCCCCACCTCACACTCTCCTCTGCCTTCCAGCAGCTTTGGAAAGGGGAGGCCCCCTGAGAGTGGCATACCTGGGTCACAGCTGGGCTTCTGCACAGACTTGGGTCCAAAGAAGCTCCATTTCTCAGCAGCTACACGGTCTCGGTCACCCCCAGCGGGATCCATGGAGACAAAGTCTGGGCCAGGGATGGCGGTGCAGGGGGCCTGGCTAAACCAGCCTCTGAAGGAAGAGCAGCATTCAGGCGCATGGAACAGAGTGGGAAGGCTCGTGCCAACAGCTGGCCAGAAGCTGGCATCAAGCTGCCACTCTGCTTCAGGGCATCTCCTCCCACCTGCTGCTCCCTACCCACGTCCCCACCACCCCAGTTTACACAACACATTCCAGCAGCTCCCGGCAAATGGAACTGGGAGCGCTGGGTTCTCTACAGGGTCCCCACAGAAGGCCCAGGCCTCTACCCAGGTGAGGGAACATCCTCATGCCAGGCAGGACGGGGACTGGGAGCAGCTCCAGCCTAACAGGAGTGCTCCCCTGCTGTGAGGGCATAGGGCACCGCATGGGACACGTACCGGTTCTTGTGCTTGGGGGAGCAATGGGGAGTGTTGCTGGGAGAGGACTGCGTGGAGGAAGCTTGACAGTCATCTCTGGCAGCTGCCCCTCCGCTCTGCACCTTCAGCTTCTGTCAGGGGGCCAGGAGGGAAATAAGGGCAGCATGAGGTTTAGATGGAGAAGCCACAGCCAGGCAGCAGAAGCACCAGTCAACTCATTCACACCCTGCTCCTCCCTCCAGCCCCCGCCCGCAGCCACCACACTGAGCATCACCCCCAAGGCTGGAACCAAGGGTGACAGAGCCGGTTCACCAGGGCCTGTTGCGCACCCGGCCCGGTCTTGGCACCAGTGCCCCAGGTCACCCTGACTGAGCTCAGTTACCTAGAGCATTTCAGGGATAAGATGGAAGCTGGGGCTAACAGCCACATCATGAAGATGGCTTTAGCTTGGTCAGGCCACTGGCACCAGCCCAGGGAGGGGAAGGCGGCAGGGAGGCCACAGTGCAGCAGGGCTGCCTAGAGTTGCTCAGAACCCCCAGCCCTTCAGGCACTTGCTCCCCACCCTAAGCCTGCCTTTAGAGGGGCTGGAGCTGCTGAAGAACAGCCAGCCATGCCCCCAGGAAGGGTCTAGGGGCTTCCTTGGACCCTGAGCTGCTGGCATGCAATTTGCCAAGGAGCCACAGCACTGTCCCCTTTACTCCAGTGCAAAGTGCAGTCCCACACCCACAGGGGAGCTCACTGTCCCACCCCAGCAAACAGGGAAGAGCAGGGCCACCAGGGAGGGCTGTGACCCAAGTCCTGGGCCATCCCTTGCTGCCATGGCAGCCAATTCAACAAAGCCAACAGCTGGGCAGTTTTGGTGGAAGAGCTGAAGCCAATCTCCTCCATCCTGTTTTCAAACCAAAGCTGCCCACCGCTCTCTGGACTCTTAGTGCAGCCGAGCAGAACACGAGTCTGCCGTGTTCCACCCCCTGGGCTGAGCCAAGACCTCTGGGCACTGCTGGCAGGAGGGAAAGGGACTCCAGGGCAGGGTGGTCACGCTGTCAGCAAGAAAGCATCATCCCGAGAGGCGAGCAAGGCCCCTGCCAGGCTCTGCATCAGCCATGTGGCACAGATGCCACCCAAGCAGTTCTGATTCCCAGATGCCGCTGGTTGCAACCAGCTGCCCACATCCTGCCCGAGACCAGGAGCACTGAACCATCACGAGAGCCAAGCCAGGGCAGAAGCAGTGACCTTCGACTCATTTTGGCAAGACGAGTTACACAAGGCCTGTCAGCCAGCACATAAGCTGATTGAACTGAACTTATGTTGTTTTAATCCAAGCTTCTTGGGTGCTTTATGAGGTAGTGAGTGCTTAAAAACTAACTCCCTCCACACCCAGAATAGAGCAGGAGCCTTGGTGAGGGAGTTTGAGCCTGGGGAGATACTGGCTCCCTCCCTGGAGAAGGCATTCAGAATGGGTAGGAGAAAGAGGGCAGAGCGGCCCTACTACTTCTTGAAGAGTCGAGAGCCAAAAGCAGGCTTCCCTCGTGCTGCAGAGCAAAAGTCACTGCCCCCACTCAACACTGGGAAGGGAAGGGGGACAGAGGACTCGCAACTAGCAGCAGCTATGTAAAACAACAGAACTGTTGTAGACCCCCAGGAAGCCCTGGAGGATGCCACCTTGGGAAGGCCACAGAATGCAGCCCCAGCACCCACAGCACTGGCAGAGACGAGACAGGCTACTTGAGCAAAGAGCTGACAGTGGAGCACTACTGGGCATGACCAGAGGACCAGGCTCCACGCAGTGCTGCGGGCCCTTCCCAGTTTCCATGTGCAAATGGGGCCCAGCACCAGGGCAGATGGATCACGCGTGAGCTATGGGAATGCCGGGGCAGTGAGGAAGCCTGGTGCCTTACATGAAGCGCCTCGGCCACGCGGTGGTACTTGGTCTCCTCTGCTGTGAGGCCCTTGTGGGGAGTGTATCCAGCATCAGTCAGCCCTGCCTGCTGCTCAAAGCGCTGCATGCTCTCCTGAGTCTGCTCTAGAACGGACGAAACAACACATTCACACGTGGCCGCACGGCATCAAAGAAGCAGCATGAGGGCAGTGGGAGTCATCCCAGCACCAGGGCTTCCGCTCTCCACGCCCGAATGTTGCAGCATCACCACCTGCTGCCTCCACGCTGAACAGGGCACAAGACACCCACATCGCCCAAGTTCTTATCACAACAGACACCAGCAACCAGACTGCCCCCCAAAAAAAAGAAAAAACAACACAGCCCCCTGAAATAACAGCCCCAGAAAAGAGTCAGACCAGGCTTAGAATTCCCTTCCAGGGACCCCAGCTATTAAAGTACCTGCTGAGAACAAGCCCAGTTTACACTAGTGACTGCGTGAACTCTCCTGGAACAGACACACCATGTGCCTGAAGACAGTTCTTCCCTGGCTTATAAGGGGGAAGAGGTTGGCTGAGAACACCGGCCTCCTTTCCTGGCAGACAAAGCTTCTAGCATTGCAGCCACTGGGGTATGTTAAGACTCCCAGGTGCGATTTCATCCTCACAGAAGCTGCTCTCTGCCACCACCTGTGTCAGCCTGGTCAGATACTCTGCCATGCTCATGTTCTAGGGCATCAGGTTTCTGACAAGACTTCAAGTGCTCTTCAGGGAGCTTCCTGATACCAAGACCCATGGGATGGGGTGCCAAGCATTCTGCCTCCAGCATCAGAGACAGGAGGTGGCATGAGCAGGTCAGCACAGCTCTGGACCTGGCTCAGTGCAGACACCAATGCTAATGCTGCAGAGCTCTCCCAAGGGGCTTCAACACCCCCCCCCATGACAGCCACAGCTGCCAACAAACATGCGACTGTCTGCAAGCACCACACAGACTCCAGTAGCTGGATGGATTGGCATTCCCCATCTCACTGGTTCCACCTAGAGCCACGCTGACAGGTCAGCAAACACTGCCCAGCTGGGAGCACCAGCCCCCTGACGGCCACAAGACAACCACTGCAGCCCAGGATACACATGAAGGCTTGCTTCTCCACTCCTCCCTCTCCACCCCAGGCCCAACCCACTGCAGTGGGGGAGTCAGATTTCTGCCTCCAGCCCCTGATTGAGGGTGGGTTCTTGCCTAAGTCTATTAATACCTCCCCCAGCCTTGGGAGTGCATCACATTAACAAACCATGCAGTTAAGTCTGTGACACCAGACAGAAAATGCCTTCTCACACAGGCAACAGAGCTGTGCAGCACAAACCCAGTGCTCACCCCCACCCCACCACCCTGTGCTCGCCTATTAGGGACTGAAGAGCTCTTACTTGTAATGAGAGAATTCATGATGATGTAAGTGGCCTTGGCCTTCACCACAGGGGCCTTGTTCACATTCTCAGTAGAAGATGAAGGGGTTATGACAGGCAGGTAACTGTTAGTCTCCCCTTCCTCAACCTGCGCAGAGTAAGTGGGGTAGAGTGAGACAGAAGGGAGGAAGTTAGCTCTGGAGTGTGACCCCCTTCCCACCATCCTGATTAGGAGCTGCCCTGCAGCAAGTAGTCACACATGTAAGAAAGCCAAGAGCTGCAAGCTGTGGCTTGGGCTGCAGTTGTAGACACACTGACATGCTTATAACAGGAGCCCACAGCTTGCTTTACACAATAAAACCAGCTCCTCAGGATGCCAGTCTCAACAGAAATAGGCACATAAGAGGATACCAGCATAGACCCCTTCCTACCTCCTCGCCGAGGGCAGCAGACAGGCCCCCACCGCCCCTGGGGAAGGGTTTCCTCCTGAGGGGCACCTCTTCAGGGACTGTGCCAAAGCTAGTCAAGCAGCACCAACCTAAACTGGCACCAGGGCTAAGCTCAGAGCACCCCAGTGCTGCCACTGCTCCTGCCCCTAACTCCAGTAACTTGCCTTGTTAGGTCCCTGAGCTGAACCACAGCTCTACCATTTTAAGCCAGAGTCTAGAGACTGGGTCTGCTGGATTCTCGCTGGTTAACTCAGGAAACAGGAGCCCTTTGGAACAGATACCCGGGTATCCCTTCATACGGCTCCTCCCAGAGCTGCATGCTTGTTTCTGCTACAATTAATTGCTCAAAATGTCCCTGGAAGTGACCGTCAGCCAGGGTAGCAGATGTCTGGGCACTTATTCTAGACTAGAGAGCAATTTGGGCCAGTTTAGGTAACCCTGAAATTGGTGCAAGCTGCAACCTGTGCCCAAGTCAGAGTGTCCAGAGAGCCTTGTGCACTGGTTAAACATTGAAGTGTGGGAGCTTTGGTTCACGTTGCTTGGACAGGCCTCGCTGAGGAGGAGCTTTTTTGAAAGGCTTCACTATGGCTCAAAAGGACATGGGCATGCCGAGACTGCGGCTGGCTTGAAGAGGCAAACAAGTCCCTGCCCAAGGCACACGTAGAAGTGTCAGCTGTGGTGGCAAACTGCAGCTGTTGTTTACAGAATGCCATTTACTAGTCTCTGGCGTTTACAAGCAAGTGCTAGGACTGGCATCAAAGGCCTCGATTCCTTGCCAGCGTCACGCCGAGCTCTGGCAAGGTCACCGCCTCGCTCACTCTTCACCAGTCTCCCAGACTGGAATTCAGTTCCTAACATCTCCTCCCTATTTTAATAGGTTGCAAGCATCTAGCACTCACCCACTTCGGCAGCTCAGCTTTAGACAGGAGCTGGACACTCAGCTCCAAAGAGCTCCTATTTCTTTCCCGGAGAGTCCAGCTGCCCCCTCCCTAGCAGCTCCTCACCCACTCGAGAGCATACCTGTGACAGCTCCTGGTACTTGCGCTCTGGGATGACTGGCTGTTTCCACAGGACATTGGAGCCCATATCTGAAGGGGGAGGAGTCATCGGTGCCGTGTCCTCCAGGGCATCGTCATAACTGAACGCCCGCCGGTGCATGCCGATCGGCAGGGACATCTTTCCTAGAAGCCCTCCAGAGCTGTGCTCAATAGCTAAGGACAGAGAGGGCAGCTTTCACAAGGGAATATGCCTGGGACATTTCACACGCTAACTCGGTAGGAACATTTGTTCTTGCAGCCTTTCACTGCAGCAATGCACGGCGCAGCGACATCTCCCATAACACCACGTGCCTCACCAAGGACCTACAGAACCAGGAGCATCTGCAGCCAAGAGACTGTTTCCTTGTGATTTACATTTCCCTGGTAAGTGTCTGGTGGATGCCAAGTCATCCTTAGTGCGAGTTACAGGTCTCTTGTTCTTAATTTGCTGTCCCAGGGCAGTCTCATCAGAAGGCTGCAGAAGCTCCCAGGAACTCTGTACCCCTTTGCAAGATGCCAGAAGACATTTTGGACTAGACTCCAACCAGAGGAGGGCGACTTCAGTCCTATGAGCACAAGACAACCGCAACTGCTTTGCATCCAGTTCGAGGTGCCAAAAGCCGACAGAAGCAACAATGCTTCCAGCAGTTATGATTTAGCTCCTGATCTACACAGAGTTCTCCAAAAGCTACCAAAAATCCTGCCACTGAACAGGAGCCCCAAGTCTCACTTGGGACAGATAAGCAGGGTGTTGCCACACAACAGCACAGGAGCTCACACAGGAAGACAACACTCATGCACTGGGAGCCAGGTGACAGCTCTGAGTGTCTGGTGGCAGCGCTGTCAGTCGCACTGCCGAGACTCAGGAGCCCACTCCCCATCTAGGAGAGAAGCCCTGTCACGAGTCTACAACTGCTTTACACCCCCATGAGAGCGGCTGAGCAGACAAGCCCAGTGCACGCGCGAGCGCCAATAAAAGTAGGTGTTATTTTCACACACGAGTGAGGAGAAGCCAACACCGGATGTTTTAGTCATCAGGCCACACTCAGTCCTCCCGGCAGTGCTCAGGGCTGTGGCAGAGTCAGGCCCCTCTGCCCGGGCTGCTCCTGAGGCAGGTCCCAGGGAGGGCTCTGCCCCCGAGCGCCTGCGGGCCATGCCCTGCCGCCAGCTCCTAGGGCTGGGAATCTCTCCAGAGCCAGTCGGTACAACCGGCCAACGTGGACAACAGCCATCACGTGACTGTGGCTTATCAGACTGCAGGAACAACAGGTAATTGCCAATCAGCACAGTTTGAACCCCAAGCGCTCAAATGTGGAGGCCCCAGGGCGTCAAGCATCCCGTCTAGGGCAGGGATGGGGACGGCCCGGGCCAACCCGTGCGCCACCACGAACACCAGCAGCGCCAAGGCTGGAACTTTACCGGGAACGTCGGGCCGCCGGGCCGCCATGGCCACAGGCTGGTTGCTGCTCCACGAGAAGTCTTAGCACGACACGGCGTCACCTGCGAAGGCAAAGAGCATTGGCAGAAACAGGACGCACCCCAGCATCAGCGTGCACCCCCGGCGTGTGCTGCAGCACATGGACCCCTGGTGCCCAAGCCCCTCGGGCACACCAGCTGATAGCCCCTTGCTTCTCCACCAGGGACAAAGATGGCTGGTGATGTGACCGTAGCAGCGCCTGCCCGCCGGGGAACCTCCTATGGGTCCTTGCACAGCTTGGGGAAGGCGGAGATATGACATCACAGGCATGACATCATAGATGGTGCTCAGCACTAGGCTCCTAGGGCGCTGGAGCACACCAGCGGCCAGGATGCAGCTCTGGCACAACAAAGGGGGGGGGGGGTACATGTTGTCACCGGGCCCCCAGTAGAAGCCTCCTGTGGGGCCCTGCTGGGGATATGACGTCACGGGCATGACATCACAAGCCCGATGCTCCGACCCAAGAGACCGGAGCACTCCGGCACAGCGAGGGGGATATGACGTCATCGACATGACAGCACGACCACGACGCGGCGAAAGGACGTCAGCAGGCGCCGGGCGGCCAGGCCGGGCCACCACACTTACCGGGCCGGGGGAACTGCTGTCCCGCGGGGGCGGCGGACCGCCACAGCCACCCTGGAGCCGCGTCCGCAGCGACTGCCCAAGCCGGAAGGGGCGGGGCGGCTGATGTGGAGGCGGAAGTCTCGCGGGGCACCCACTTCCCGCGAGACCTGGAGGGTGCTGGGACCTGCAGTCCGGGCGGGGGCGCAGCGCGCAGACCTCGCTGTCAGACACGAGGGCTGGACGGGAGCTGGTGAGATGCCGGGTCCAGCCCCTGCCCCTGCCCCAGGGCCAGGTCACCCCAGGCCCCCATGAAGGGAGGTCGCTGAGAAATCAGCTGCTTGCTGGGACAGGTCGCAAAGGAAACAGGACGGAGCGGGGGTCCCAGGCTGCAAACGAGGGTTGCAGGTGGGCCGGCGCCCACCACCCCCTGGACGCCAACCAGGGAAGCTGCTGCAGGCGTGAGCAGGGGAGTGACCGGAAGACAGGCCTGCATGCACTCCCCCGGTGGTGCTGCCCGACAAGCAGGTGCTCGGCCCCGCTACAAGCTGGGGGAGATGGATGGGCTGCAGGGCAGGGGGAGTTCAGACTCGCCCCTTCCCTACTGCCCTGGCACCAGGAGCTGAAGCCGTCCTTACGGGAAATCCGCCCCATGCAGGCACGAGTCGGGGACTGGCAGAGGGTACTGTGGGGCAGATGGCAGAGCTCAGCTCAGGCACCTCAACCCTATCCCCCAAAAGGATTTGGGACTCCTTGAATCCCCAGTCCTCTGTTGCACCAAGCACCTGCCTGGCTTGGATGGGATCTGAGCACTCAGCCCACAAGGAAGGGGCTGCACTGTGCGACCAGTGACACAACCAAGGGAGCTGGGCGCTGCCATCCCCCCCACCACTCTGGGTTCCTCCTAGGAGAAGCATGATGCCCTGAGCTCGACCAAAGCAAGCAGGGAGCTGGCCCTGCACCCCCTCGGCAGCTAGCAGGAGCTCTTCATCCTACCCATGACCACCACCCACACCAGGCTGCTCACAGCCACCAGCGCCCTCCACATCAAGCACCCGCTGGTCCAGCTGCTCTCCCAGCTCTGAAGCACAGAGGGCCCCGGGGTCAGACTGGGGCTGCAGGACTCCTGCCCCCACCCCTGCCCATAAGGCTGCCAACCCAGGCCTGGGCACAAGGACCAAGATTCCTTGATTTGCAGTCAGGATCAAAGCCCCCTATCCCATGGTGCTAAGTGAAAACAGGTGCTGTCACGTGCTCCATCCCTGCAGCTCCACGCCCAGTCCACAGGCAGCACCCACCCATCTGGTAGATTCCTGTGCCACTGAGGCCCTGGGGTGCCTGTCCCCCATGCATGCACTGCTCACACCCCTACATTGCCTGGACTGCTGCAGGGCAGGGGATCGGACTGGCCCTCAGCACTGAGGATGATGGGGCAGAGACAGGTGGAGGGGTTTTCATCTCAGTCATTCCACTGGCCAGCAGGGCCTGCGTGGCTTCTCTGGCCCAGCAATGAGGGTATGTCCCCCTGCCAGGCAAAGGGAGAATCCTCCCCAGAGATGCCAGCTGCACAACCTGATTCCCCAGCTCCCTGCCCATCACCCATGCATGAGGCCAGGCTGCCCCAGCAAGCCCAGCCTAGGTGTTCAAGGCTCCAGCTGATGACAACCTGGTGATTCAGCTGCCAAACAGGAATCAGCTCCCAGCAGCCAGCACGTGCCAGGAAAAAGGCCATTTCTTGCACCCACTCACCTGCTAACTACCTTGAGCCTAATTAAATGGGTGCTAATTCGGAGGACGCGTGCTGGGCTAGGCAGTTGCTCTGCTGTCCCAGCTCCTTCCCCACATGTGGCATTAGGGCAGCAACCAGGCTTCTGGGAAGGCTGCAGCATTAACTGGATGCAGGCTGGGCAGCTGGAAGCTCTTGCCATGCGGCACTTGGAGCCAGGGGCTCCTCAGCAGGCCAGTCTATGCTGCTTGGCCAGTCTGTGACACTGAGCCTTTTGCACTACAACCTGTCTAAATAAAAAACACTGCCTCTCTTGACCTTTGCTCATGTTCTGTGCAATGGAGGAGGAAGGGCCTTGTCACCTGAAAGGGGGAAGGGGTCAGCAGCTCCCTGCCCGTCTCCTCTATCCTAGGCTGCAGAAGCAAGGAGAGCAGCAAGTCCTCTAAACCCCCCATTCTGGGCTGCAAGAAACCCCGTGCCCCTCACTGCAGCAGCCGTGCCACCTCCAGCCATGCTGGTTTGGAAAAGCTGCTTTTATTGGAACATGAAGAGCACAGCTATTGTCCTCTCTGCATGGGTAGCTACCAGGGCCCCCACAGCCCAAAGGCCTGCAGCACTGGGCCAGCTACTTGCTTTAGCGCACACTTGTTCCTGCTGAATGGGGATTCTTCCTGTCCTCCAGTAGCTTCCTCAAATTCAGAGCCTAGGTTCCCGAAAACCTGCAGTTGGTGGATGGCCACAGAAAGCCCACACACAGGCCCAGGGGAGGTGCCACGCTGGTTCTCAAAGCACAACTGGCTCCTCTCTGACTGGGCAGGAACAGGAGCTGTCACTGCTGGTCCATCTTGTCCTGCTGCAGGGATGCCACAAATGCCTGGAATTCCTCAGGGTAGAATCGCTTGTAGACTGTAATCTTCCTCTTGATCTGCTTGGGGGTGTCCTGGTAATAGTTCTGCTCATCCCGAGCCATCGCCTGGGTCACAGGGAAGGGGGAGGCCATCAGAGCCACTGCTGCCTGGGACCAGGGAGAGCAAACCCGCCGGAAAAGCCCATGCCCTGTGAGCAAGCACTGAGCCAGGCCAGCCACAGGGCTGCCTGCACACCCATTCCCCAGGCATGGTTGAGTTCTGTGCCTCCGAGTCAGCAGGTGACTG